TTTTCAACAACAAAATGAATATATGGCCTGTACAGGGGTGTGATGCCTTGACTTTTATGTTTACAAAAAAAAAAATCTATTAAAATACATTAATAGTATTTTTTCTTCATTTTGTTGTTGAAAAAATTCCTTTTTACACGATACACATGTTCAGATTTTCTGTGTATCGTTGGATTATATGAAGATCTTGTGTTTGCCATGGTGCTCTCTCTACTTATGCTTTAAAACCCCCCCCGGAATATTTACTGCTTCTTGTGCAGTAAATAGATTTTTCATGAATTGAATTAATTAATTAAAATTAATACATTTTTCTTGATCCCAGAAGGGCAATTTGATTCACAATTGCAAACCTACATCAGTTCACAGAACATTTGGAGATTGATTTTAATGAAGACTTTTTATTCCATTTTCTGTTGTGACCAGGAGTCTTCCCAACAGGATGGTTCGGAGAAGAAGCAGACTGCCAAACCTGATTCCAAATCCTTTGGTTTGAACTTATTCCGTGGACAGGTTTCAGCCGATCAAGTGTTTCCATATCCAGAAGGTTTGTGGGTCCAGATTTACACGACCCTACGTAAAATTGATTTATGAATTATCAGTGATGATCTGAAAAGAGTGGCAGTGTAAAAGTTACATTATAATGAAAAGCTTGAGTTGTAGGGAAAAAGAATTTTTACCAAGTTCTGTCAGAAGAAATGAGTTTAATTTTGTTTTTAATTAGTAACATTCTTTTCAATGTTTTCACCTTTTTTGATTGATTTATAAATACTCTTTCAATGTACGTTAATGATACTCAGTACTAAACTTTACGTTTTGCAAATTTTAGTATATATTGCTTTTCTGTACTGCTGGTGCCAGAGCAGGTGTTATGACTGTGTGGTCCTGAAGTCTTGAATAAAAGTCTGTGTCCTCATAATCGTGTAACATGTTGGTATCAGTCTCAGTAACCTGCCTGTGGATGGTTGGCGGGTTCTCTGGTGTGGTTTGCTCCTTCTTTTCTATCAAACATATACGCTCGTGGATGGTTGGCGGGTGCTCAGGTGTGGTTTGCTCCTTCTTTCCTGTCAAACATCTATCATCTTTATCTCTCCCTCTTTTTTATGTTTGTTACTCTCTTGTTACACCTCTAATCTTTGGCACTTATGTGACCTCTTTGTGTAGCAAGTGCCAGAAAACGCTTATTAAAACAAAAAACATCAACGCTCTTTTTTATCTCTCCTCCTTTTTGTCTTTGAATGTTACGAGTAACACCTTTAATCTTCAGCACTTTTATGACTATTTATATTGCAAGTAAAACTTTTTACGAAAACTAGAATTAACTTACTACTTTACTTTTTACTTTTTCGTACTTGGAGAAAACTGCATCTCCCCTCGACGCTTAACGGCAACAGAGGATGAAGAAGTATAAAGTAAAGTAAAACTAGAACTAAACTGTTAAAATGAGAAGAGAATTTGGACGTGTGTGCTCAGCTGTAATTTGTTTTCCCCACAGTTTTGAGTGAGGATCAGAAACAGGAGCTGCAGGAGTTGGTGGACCCGTGTGCCAAGTTCTTTGAGGTGAGCTGAAAAAGTACTTTGGTTGTTTGTTTTTTTGACTTCTTAAAAATAAATATTTTATGAAAGGTTTAAAGTACAGTTGAAATTTATACACAACTTTATTGTAGATGTCATGAAATTACATTATATTACTGTTTGTGTGTATTTGCAATACATGTTTATTTACCACAACTAATTTGTTAACTAAATCTACTTGTGTTCTGGAAACTGATTTTTTTCCCCCAAACTCTTGTTTTAAGGGAAGATGTTTGGAAAAACTTCTGTTTTTGATCATGGCATGGTTGGTAGGTCTGTAAATATAGCCGTGAACCTTACTTGTCTAATGTTGTGTATGGCGGATCATCGATTGCACAGTCTCGATTGTCCAGTGGTTAGGCTATTGGGCTCGCTACCAAAACATCGTTAGTTTGAACTCCGTTGAGGGCCCCAAAGTTGCGTCTTGGAAAAGGCAGTTTCACCCAGGAGGAAATGGGTACCCTGCTGTAGATACCGAAAGATCTTGTCAGTTTGTTAGTGTTTAAGCGCTTAATCGGCTACTTGTTCTGTCACTGTATGCTTTAAGGGAAACTTAGAATGTTTTCTAGAGTTCAGGGGTCTACTGGAGTAATAAAATAGTAAGAAGGACTATTTATTATAATTATTATTATTATTGTTATTATTGGCATTATTACCTAAAGCAGGCCACTATGTGCTATTTACAACCTGTTGTATCCCCATCTCAGGAGGTCAACGATGCATCCAAAAACGATCAGTTGGAAAAAGTGGAAGATTCCTCTATGGAAGGTCTCAAGGAAATGGGAGCTTTTGGTCTGCAAGTACCTCAAGATTTGGGTGAGCTGCTGTTGAGTCTTTTGTTTCTTACATTTTGGTGAAGAACAGGCGAGGATGATTTGTTTGAAAGAGTTCTTAGTTGGTATTTTAGAATAACATAATTTTCTATGCCCTTCCAATGACTGTTCATGTGTATGGGCGAGTGTGTTGGTGTGTATGTCTGCGTGTGTGTGTGTGTGTGTGTGTGTGTGTGCGTATTTATCAGGACACAGCAAATTTGTCTTTGTGAAGCTCAATATATTATCTTATATCTTATTTTACTGAGTGCTTCAGTTGTAAAATAGTTTCATAGTTTCATTTACACTGTTGGTCGCTCGTTTCAGTGTAAGTAGAAAATGTTGGTTGCCATCATGGACGTCTTGTTATCTTCCTCTGATTCAGTGGCTTCAATTACTAAGTACAGTCGGACTTGTTCTAACTCCACCCCCCCCCCCTCGGGGCAGTGCCACTGACTGTAGTGTCTTTAGGCCATTCCCAAAGGGGGGGGACATTTCTCGTTCAAGCACAGTAGAATTGTAAATGGGCTGATTCATGTCACTCTCATAACTGTGCCTGATCTACAACAGGGAACTGCTGCTTTTTCTTTCCTATTCCTTACTATTGTCATTTTCCTCTACTTCTTTTGTATGTTTGTCACTCTCTTGTGACTTGCTATTTCCGGGGTGCCTTGATAGTCGAAGCAGACCTTGTGCTGTTGAAGCTAGAGAGGTGAGCAGAGTAAGTCTGATTCCCTGTAAAGACTTCTCTGTTGACACCCACCCCTTGGCGCTCATATGACCTTATGGAGTTGCAAGCGCCGTAAAACCCTCCACTATAATAATAATAAAAAACAAAAAAAACCTCCGCCTGTCCATGACAATCTCCAGTACCAATGGTCACTTCCCACTTCCATCCTTCCTGCTCTAACGCACCCACCCCTACCCCCTGTCCAAGACAATTACCTGTACAAAGTACCGCTCCCCACTTCCTATTTGCAGGTTTATTTTGTGTGGTTTTGCTTTTGGTATTATAGTGGCACTGTCTAGGACGTCTTGTCTTTCTAAGATTTTTCTCTTTTTCTCCTTAAAAATGAGTGGCCATCTTGGACAATTTTGACTGTATTTCTGTTGTCTGATTTATCCATGGCATTCAGAATGAATTTGTGATGGTGGAAATGTAAAAACAACTGTTTGAATGTTTTCCAGGTGGCATCGGTCTGACCAACACTCAGTACGCACGGCTGGTGGAGATCGTCGGGGCTCACGACCTCGGTGTGGGCATCACCCTCGGGGCCCACCAGTCTATTGGCTTCAAGGGCATCCTGCTGTTTGGCGACAAGGAACAGAAAGAGAAATACTTACCGGCTTTGGCGTCGGGGGAAACGATAGCTGCTTTCTGTCTGACCGAGCCGGCCAGTGGCTCAGATGCCAGTGTGAGTGGTTCAGGGTTTAAAAAAAAACAAAATCTATTCTTTGTATCGTGAGCAGTGTGAATTTTCGGAAGTATTATTTAGGAATAAGAACGAGAGGTGCTGTGACATCAGAAAGGAAGGGAGTTGTAAATGTGTGCATTGTTCTTTGGGGTCTTTTGGGAGGGGGGGGGGGTTGGAAAAACTCTTTCTTTAGTTTTTGTTTTGTTTATTGTTAAGGCGGTTGCAGAGAATTGTTTGTCATTATATATTTTTCCTGATGTTACACTAACAATTTTTACTAAGTTTGGATAGTGACGCTGTCTAATTTGGTCTGTGCATTCTACTTGTCTTCTGTGTTTCTATTGTTGTAACCTGTATGAATTGTTGTCTTTAAAAAAGCTTTCTGTTTGATAGGGGCCTTGGTATGAAATTCTCCTTCTACTTGTATTCAGTGTTATTCTTACTGTGATCTGTTTGTGGTTGAATGTTTGGGATATTATATGGACTCTCGATAAGATTCCGCTCCAGTTTTTCTTGTTAAGAAGAGCAATCTTGAATGCACTGCCTGGCAATGTAAGAGAGATTAAATCTTTAACCCTGCTAGCCTTCAAAGTTCTTTTTTTTTTTTTTTCATTCTTCTATATTTTTCATCAGAACACAATGTGCTGTGAAATGTGTTGCTACCAGTACAGTCAAACCTGCCCTGACGGCCACCTCTATAAGACGGTCACCTGTACAGACGGCCACTTACCATTTCCCCCCTTGCGTTTTTTCTATATAATTTAACTGTGTAAAACGGGCACCTGTCCAACGCGGCCGCGGCCATCATATTTTAACACACAACCCCTATCATGCAAAGCAATAACACCTGTCTTAGATGGCCACCTTAGTGACTCCATTACGTTTTGTCATAAATTGTGCATTGGCCCCTGGCGTTGTGGGCGAGCTGTCATAATTTAATCACTTGTCGATGTTACTTTTTTGGTAGTCCCTCCAACCGATCATGTTGCGTAGGCCCCTCCCACTGTTGACCAATAGGTACCAATTTTCAGCTGCTGGTGAGGTAAGCGTGTGATCCCTCATAAACCATAGCCCCTCCCATAACTCATACACAAATCGTAAGTGAGATGAGTGGTCACTGTTTACCCAGTCTGTAACAAAGTAACAAAGGACGTCAACATGAACTTGTGACAGAAGCGTCGCTCGTTTCTGAGTGGTGGCGACCCATGTGTTTGTTTTAACATGGCACTCGGTCTTATCGTCTGATATATTTCGTTTTATTGTCACCCTTGAGCAAAATCAGCAACAAAATAAAATTAACAAATGAAATACAAACCAATTACAACAACAAAAGCATCAACAATGCGGCTACTTACGATTGGGACCTCAGATGGGAATGGTTTGTTTTCTTCATCTTGATCAGTCCTGCCTAAGACGGCCACCTGTCTTATACGGCCACTTTTCTCCTCGACAATGGGTGGCCGTCTTACACAGGTTTGACTGTATTTGTAGAGGTTTCAGGTGGGTGGTTGGCTGGTGCTCTTGTGTGGTTTGCTTCTTCTTTCCTATCAAACGTCTTTTGTCTTTATCTCCCCTTCTTCTTTTTTGTGTTTGTTACTCTCTTGTAACACCTCTTATCTTCGGCCTTTATATGACCTTATTGTGTTGTGAGTGCCGTAAAGCACTTACAAACCCCGGGGCAGTGCCTTTGACTGTAGTGTCTTTAGGCCATTCCCAAAGGGGGGACATTTCGCGTTCAAGCATAGAAGAATTGTAAATGGGCTGACTTATGTCACGCTCATAACTGCCTGATCTACAACAGGGAACTGCTGCTTTTTCTTTCCTGATCCTTACTATTGTCATTTTCCTTTACTTCTTTTGTATGTTTGTCACTCTCTTGTGACCTGCTATTTCCGGGGTGCCTTGATAGTCGAGGCAGACCTTGTGCTGTTGAAGCTACAGAGAGGTGAGTAGAGTAAGTCTGATTCTCTGTAAAGACTTTTCTGTTGACACCCACCCCTTGGCGCTCATATGACCTTATGCAGTTGCGAGCACCGTAAAACCCTCTACTATAATAAAACAATAAAACAAGAAGGTTCAGACAGAACCTGTGTTCTGTTATTGGGTTTGGGGGCTACATGAATGTCATCTATGTGTATTGTTATTTTAAAATGTTTTTATTTAAATAAAAAAAAAATGTCCTTATTCTCCTGACTTCAGTCAATCAGGACAAGGGCTGTAATTGTGTTTGAGGGCTACATAAATGTCGTATACATGTATTGTTATTTAAAAATGTTTTTTTGCAAAAAAATAAATAATTCCTTGTTCCCTTGATTTCAGTCAATCAGGACAAGGGCTGTTATGTCAGAGGATGGGGAACATTTCATCCTGAATGGCAGCAAGATTTGGATCAGCAATGGAGGACTGGCTGAAATTTTTACAGTTTTCGCTCAGGTTTTTGTCATTGTTTTAAAAAAGTTTTAAGGCGTTACGATTTATTGCTGCTTGTGCTTTTGCTATGGTTCTCAATCGTGGGGGTCATGGACTTTGACTCTTTGATGAAACTCAGCTATGTACTAAAGCAGAAATCTTATTGTATGTACGGATGGTTGGAAGTCATCACTGGTAGATCTTCTTTTCTTTACTTCTATCTTGCTTTTTCCTTGTACTGGGTGGGTGGCTTGAGGGTGCCACCAGTAAGTCTTATATTCCCCCCTAAGGTTATTTCTGTTTCTACGTCTTACCCATTCCTTATTATTAATAATAATAAATAGCTTTTGTATAGCGCATACCTGCGCTTGACATCACGCTCTATGCGGTGTACATTATATTATTACCCCAGCAGACCCTATAACACTCCTAAACATTCTCGGCTTCCCCGGAAGCATACAGTGCAAGCAGCTGATTAAGCGCTCAAACACCAACAAACTTGACAAGATCTTTCGCTTGTATGCACCTGGACCTTGTGAGTGCTCTGGTGTGGTTTGCTCCTTCTTTCCTATCAAACATCTGTCGTCCTGATCTTTTTTCCTTCTTTTCTTTTTATGTTACTCTCTAGTAACACCTCTAATTTTTTTCCAGTAACATGACCCTATGAAAACATAAAAAAAAACCTGAATGGTGGTTGTTTTGTTGCTGTGCTAGTCTCTTCCTTCTAAAAATCACGTTTTTTTCTTGTGTGTATTCGCTGTGCCTGTCTCTTCCCTCTAACAAACACGTTTTTCATTATGTGTATTCGCTGTGCCAGTCTCTTCCCTCTAACAAACACGTTTTTCCTTGTGTGTATTCGCTGTGCCTGTCTCTTCCCTCTAACAAACACGTTTTTCCTTGTGTGTATTCTCCAGTGTGAAGTCACAGACCCAAAGACGGGGGTCAGCAAGGACAAAGTGACAGCATTTATAGTGGAGAGAAGCTTTGGAGGAGTCTCAAAGTGAGTTCTGGAAATGTTTACATGGTCTTTGACACATACTGGTTAAGTTGAGATAGTCTCCTCCCCCCTGGCTGATTTTTCAAATTCCTGCATGTCTATATGTGAGGCAGCGTGGTGGAATCAGGCTCTCGTCAATTTTTGGGCAAGTAGAGTTATTGGTATTATCTTAAAGCTTGTTCACTTGTCTTTATTTCAATGAAAAAAATATCCTCCATTTATCTTGAGTACAAGTCGAGATATTTGCGAATGAAGGACGTGGGGTCACCTGTTTTCAGAGGTAAAATTAGTGAGAAAATGGCCGCCAAAGATTGGTTATTTCCTTAGCTTAAGAGTCTGTGGTAACTGAAAATTGACATTTTTTGTGCCTTTAATCAACGTTTTTAAGAAAAATCCACAGAGAAATGAGTTCTTTAACGGGCATGAAAGGTGTTGAGCTAAAAAAACAAAAATTTGATAATAATTCACAAACCTGCGGAAAAGTGCAAGTTTCTTAATTTTGATTATTTTGACAAGAGCCTGATTCCACCGCGCTGCCTCACATATGTGTTACAACATGACAGAATAGTCACGTGTCATATTTTGACAGTATAACAATACGCGTTTCACCAAAAAATATGTTCAAGCCCTACAAGTGGATGGAAACAGTTTGGTTCCAAAGTTATCATCGCTTGAAGTTCAGATTCCGAAACTCACTGTTTTGAGAAATTTGAGGTTTTTGACTGATAACCCAAAACAGCTGACTGTGGGAGATTGAGTTTTATGGAGGGGGAGGTGGGCAAGGGGACCTAAGTTTGTTAGTTTTGCTCCCCCCCCCCCCACACACACACACATAGACACACCATGTTGTGATTTATTTGGTGCCAGATATTTGTAAATTGAGGAGGAAAATGTGTTATCACGGTAGCCCCCACTCATGAGGCGGGAAAATTGTATGGAAATGATGGTGATGAAGATGATGACCACAGCAGGAAAGTTGTATGGAAATGATTGTGATGAAGATGATGACCACAATAATGTTGAGAACGGTGTCGGAACGGAGATGTTTCTTTAATCTTTTCAGTGGTCCTCCAGAGAAGAAGATGGGCATCAAGGCGTCCAACACTGCTGAGGTGTACTTTGAGGACGTGAAGATTCCCAAAGAGAATGTTCTTGGTGGTGAGTTCTCCATGCTTTGGTGTAGTCTTTTGCAAAATATATTTTAATACCCTGCCCCCCCCCCTCAAGTTGGATGATGTTATAATGTTGCTGGAAGGCCCTACTTTTCTTCTTCTTCCTTACTACCCTCCCACCCACCAACCCAACTTGGAGGCAAAGATATAAATATTTTTTTACCTATCCAATGCATGATATTTGATTGGAAACATTTCGTTGTTACTGGTAAGTCTTTGTTTTATCACAGGGGTAAAGCACTGGTTCTTATTATTGTATTATTAGTATAAACACATTTTTAAATGTAAGACCTCATTGATAACCATGAGATAATACGGAAACTTCAACGTTTTATTATAAATTTAGAGAAAGGAGTGGGTGGGTGAAAGGTGTTGCTGATAAATTTGACTTCTTTCCTTTCCTTTTCTTTTGCTGTTTCTGTGTGTGTGTCAGTGTGTCTTTCAATTACACTGCTCTTAGTAACCATTCTTCTGTCTATGTACCTCTCTTTACTCAAACTCATTAGTGATGGAAATATTTCTGTTTATCTATAAATGCTTTCTGGTTAAATTATTAAAATATTTTGTTTGTCTTCAGGTATTGGTGGTGGTTTCAAAGTGGCAATGAACATTCTGAACAATGGAAGATTTGGCATGGCTGCCTGTCTAGCCGGGACTCAGCGCTACTGCATTAGCAAGGCTGTAAGTTGTTTAAGAGAAATCTTTGTTGGTGAAGTGTTTTGCTTTGAAGTTAAAAAGTATTGGTTGCAGTCTAAATTGTCCAATATGGCCCCCGTTCAGAGGACGAGAAAATGGAGTTTTATCTACTTCATAAAATGGAGTTGTGAACAAGAGGTGATAGTACATTAGTACTTTCTGACAGTTCCGTACTTCATCCCCCATCATTATCAACTCCATCTGTAAAAAAGTTCAATAGCGTAGGGCTGCGGAAATTCCATAACATAGAACCCGTACTCGCCTTCGTATTTCAACTCGTCTTGTATAAGCTCCAGATTTTTATGGGAATTCTCTCGGCAGTAAGTTAATGTTATAGAAACCTCCCAGATTGTGCATCAGTTGAGTGTTTCGGAATATGTGAGGCAGCGTGGTGGAATCAGGCTCTCGTCAATTTTTAGGCATATTGAGTTATTGGTATCATCTGAAAGCTTGTTCATTTGTCTTGCTTTCAATGAAAAAATTACCCATCCATCTTCAATAGAAGTGGAGATCTTTTGGATGGAAGGAGATGGGGTCACCCGTTTAGGAGGTAAAATTAGCAACAAAATGGTTGCCAAAGCTTTGTAAATTCCAAACCTGGAGAGTCCATGGAAATTGTAAATTTATATTTTTGAGCCTTTAATCAGCGTTTTCGGTGACATCCTCAAAGGAATGTGTTTATAAATGTACATAAAAGGTGTTGAACCTAAAAACAAAAAATTGATAAAAATTTCTAAGCAGGGAGAAAAGTGCTGTTTTCTTCGATTTCATTATTTTGACGAGAGCCTGATTCCACCACGCTGCCTCACATATGATTACTCATTGTGCGTGGTATTTGTCTACTTACTATAGTGCTGGGTATTTTGTTCATTCTAACAGAGAGATTATTGAAGGAACTTGAGAAAATACCATTGACAATGTTATTCAAGTTATCTCTCTACTATTTTTTCAGCTATTTCTTTTTCTTTTTTTTTAAGAACAAATTGTGCGGACATAATATTTCTCTGTGTAACATTTGGAATCATTTTCTACAAGAAAAAAAAAGGCTAGTTTGTGAAAAGGGGGTGGGAGAGGCATTACTTTGTTTGGATGTGCTTGTAGTTATCTCAGCCTGCAGTAATAAATTCTGTGTCTCACTCATCATCACCTCAGCCAGTCTTTCTTCTCAGCCATCCTCCTACACGTGTAAGGCCCAGGGCTGTTCTCACTTTGCCCATAACAGGAAAGGCTCTTATACAATTTAATAAAAAAAAAAAAAAAAGAAAGTAGAAAATGAAAAAAAAAAGTGCTGTATGGTTGGAAAAGAAAAGGTAAAACAGAAGACGATAGCAGATGCTGAGATCTCTCTAAATAAGACTTCACTACATATTTATTTACTCCTCCTCTGTCGTCCTCTCCTTTCATTCTTGATTTACTCCTGTGACCTGTTGATTGTTTGTTTGCTGCTTTTGTCCTCACATCCTATAGGTGGAGCACGCAGCAAACAGAACCCAGTTTGGAAGAAAGATTGAAACCTACGGAGCCATCCAGGAGAAAATTGCACGAATGACAGTCCTGCAGTATGTCACAGAGGTGAGGACGGGGG